TTGCCCAACCTTCCTTCTGAGGGATTACTGGGTGGGACCATGCAAATAAGGTGTAGAGCTCTGATGTTGGGATTGGTCAGTTTTGTCACTCTGCTAGGCTTAAAATGAGCCCTCCAGAGGAAGAGGGAGATCTTACTACCATCAAGAGAAAAGAGCTTGAGGTGAAGTAGAGCACATCCTTGGACCCAAGATCCCTTCACTGGGCCTTCTTGACAGAGACACCTCAGCAGAAAGATGCCCCAGCAGAGAGATGCCCTGGCAGAGAGAACGTGGCAGTGGAACCAAGAGGCACGAGATAGAGTGGCAGGCTTACCTGCCACAGGAGCCTTGCTGTTAGAGTGGGGTGCACCTAGGTGTACCTATGAGCAGAGCTAAAACACTTGCCCAAGCAGGGCAGAGGCCAGGCCAAGAGGCCAAGGGCCAGAGAGGTGTGATTGAGGGCACAACAGAAGAATTTCATCCTGAGCATGTTCCTGAACCCAAATCATAGCCTGTTACTTCCCTAATAAACCCCATAACCATGAGTATTGTTTTTGAGTTCCATGTGGCCACTGAATTATTGAAACCAGCAGAGTAGTGAATGCCATGGGAAGGAACGTTGGTGTCAGAATTGGTAAAAGGCTGGAGGGTGATGGCATGTTTGTCCTGATAGGAATAAGTCTTGAGTTATTGATGGTGATTCTGTCTTCCTCTTGTGAAGTTAGAGGAGGTCAGAAGATGCTGCCTCCCTGCCCTTTTTTGTAGGTTGTATTGATATTTTCATAGTGTTCAGTCTTCCTATCCATGAGCATGGTGTTCTTCCATTTGTGTAGATCTCTTATAGTTTCTTGAAGCAGTCTTTTGTGTCCCTGGTAAGATTTATGTAATGTAGTTTTTAATGTCTCACTATTATTCCATTAAATGGATATGTACATAATTTAGTTATTCAGTTACCTGTGGTTGGACCTTTTCATTGTTTCCAGTTTTCTTGCTAATCATATGTATAATTTTACTTAACTTATAAATTCCTAGAAGCTGAATTAGTGGGTCAAATACACGTAAAATATTAGGCCATTGACAAATCTAGTTCTCCTCCTTAAAGAGTTTGTTAACTAATGTCATATAGTCTATTTTTGAGTTTTTGAGGACAAGAAGGGTCCTGAGATAGCTAATCCAACCATACTTATATTTCATAAATTTTTCCAGAAAATTCACCTTCTCAGTAGTTTCATCCATAGTATGCTATTAAATTTGTCTTTCTTCTTGAAGTAGTCCCTGGATGTAGTAAGGCAAAGTTACTTGGAGGATGCCTAATGGCTAGAGAAGCCCATTCTGGGACTAAGAATATGCCATGAATGTGCCATTTATACATCTGAGTGATTCATCACTCTCCCTTTATCCAGAGGGAAATGGTGAGCAGAGACAGAATGGAAGCAGCTGTCAAGGCATCTGCTCCCTCTCTGTTCTCCAAGTTAGGGTCTTGGGTCAAGTTAGCTCTGTTTACATTTTAATGCAATTTAGAATATAAGGGTGACAGCATAGGGAATTGAGAGAAAGATGATTGATAATCTCACCCCATCTCATACAGGTGCCCTCTGCTCTCTAGTTTTCCCTAATAGATAGTAGGACAGAGATAATTGCATCATCTTCCAGGGTAAATCAGAAGAGGGACCATATGTGGAGGTAGTATTTAAAAATAAAGCATGTTGTGGTTGGAGGATACAGCTTTAAAGAAATTATAAATGAGACAGCTGCACGCTTCCCTCTAACCTAATGAATCATTGAGATAGAGGAATGGTAGATCTCTAACTCTGACTAATAGAAGAAGCAGAGAACTTAATGTAATTTTTATTACCTTTAGGTAATGATAATGTCAGAAAAACAATAGAGTGAGGCCTCCACCATTCATCCAGGGTCTGTTTGAGTAGATAAGGTCTCTCTGTGAGCAGCATACCTTTGGGAACTTGGTTAAGCTGACTGATAAACAGAAGCCTCCATGGGAGCATTACATCCCACATAGAATAGCCACTGTTAGGGTTGTCGAAACCAGAAATCAGTGCTTTTATTGGATTATTTATAAATAAGCTGAAATATTGAATGGATATTGGTAAAATATGTGGACATGCAGACCTAAAGATATAGATAGCTGCCGTTCAATCAATTCTAACTTTTTTTCTAAATTTTATTTATTTGTTGTTGTCATTGAGAATATACACAAGAAAACATACACCAATTCAACAGTTTCTACATGTACAATTTAGTAGCATTGATTACATTCTTCGAGTTGTGTGAACTCTGACTCTTGGTGACCTCATGTCCTACAGAAAGAAACTTTGCCTAGTCCTGCATCATCTTCATGATTATCTACATATGTGACTCCACTATTGCAGCCATTGTCCCAGTCCATCTCACCAAGGGTCACCCTCACCCTTGCTGGCCCTGTACTTCACTAGACATGATGTTGGGATTGATTCCACCTGATGGCAGGTCCAAAGTGAGCAAGTTGGACAGTGTTCTCTTGTGATCCATAAAGTTTTCATTGGCTTGTTTTTTGGAATTAGATCACTAGGCCTTACTTCCTAGTCTTTCTTAGTCTGAAAACTCTGCTAAAACCTGTCCACAGTGGGTGACTGGGTAGTTCAGTTTGTGTGTCAACTTGGCTGGGCCTGGTTGAGTGGCTGGACAGCTGGTGGTAGTTATTCCCCATGATGAGACTGGCAATCAACTCCATGGTGAGATCTATCACAAGCAGCTAAGTAGCTGCCTTTGGGATGTGGTCTGCTTCCTGTATATAAGGAGAAGGCTTGGGAATGGTCTCTAGCTTATGGGATGCTTGGGCCCTACATGTAGCTGTATCATTGCTCAGCAGCCTGCTATGCTCTGCCGACCTTGGGACTTACAGTGGACTTAAGTTAATAATGGCCTGCCATGTGGTTTGGTAACATTGGGACTGTACCTTTTTGTTTGTCAACCTTGGGTTTGTCAGCCTCAGCATCCAGCAGCTGTCTGAGTGAAGAAACACCTCTAGCTCCAGTGGGCCGGGAGCAGGAAGCAGAGCTAGACCCCAAGGTTGAGGGGCTTTCACTCAACCCCTAGAGCCTGGCACTTTGAACTTGGACTTAAAGCCTCCAAAGTGTAAGAATATACTCCTGTTTGTTAAGGCCATGCCATTTGTGGTATATTGCTTGTCAGAGAGGCACTAGGTCACCAGAACAGTGACCCTAATGGTATTTGAAATAATGATGGCATAGTTTCCAGCATCATAGCAACACACAAAGCCACCACATTACAACAAACTGATGCATGAGTAGTGGACATATAGACTTAAGGTAGACCAAATTGACAGGTGTGACATGTTTATACAGAATCTTGGGGAAATGCATGTAGCTACAGGTTTAAAAGAAATTACTGAGACATCAAAGTAAGAGGATAAAGTGACCTGATTAGGTTTTGTTTCATCTGAAATAGATTTCAGATTAAGTTTGTTTTTTCTAATCATAAGTTTACCTTAATATCTATATTAAACACCAAGATTTAATTAACTAGGAGGTTCCTTCAAGAAATATGTAACTATGAATATATATACCAAAAAAAAAAAAAACCCTCACTGCCATTGAGTGGATTCAGACTCATAGAAACCCCTACTGGGTTTTCAAGGTGGTAAATCTTTATGGAAGTAGATTGTCCCATAGTCCTTCAACAGAGTGGCTGTTGAGTTTGAACCACCAACCTTCTGATTAGCAGTCAAATGCCTTAGGCACTGCACTACCAGAGCTCCCCATGAATGTATATAGCTATGTATATGTTTACAAAATTTGAGAGAAGTAGTCAAGCCCTGCACTTTTCTTCTCCTTATGTGCCTTGGCCCAACCTATTTTGGCACTTGGGGGCATACAACTTTTATGCACTCCAATAGGTGTCTTAGCCTCGTGTGTGTGTGGTGAGGGTAGGTAGTTTGAAAGTCCTGCTTTGGAGGAAATGAATATCATGTGAACACGATGATGCACAGGTTAATGTTCTAAAGTGCTTGCTGATGAAAATGAACTGGAGCTAGAAACTGGGTTTAAACACCTAGTAAGAGGTGCTACAAATAAACCATTTAACTAGAGGCCACTTTGAGGGTTTTTTTTTTTTTTTTTTTGAGGGAAGGGGGGAGATTTCCACTAATGTGCTGAGGAAGATACTTTTAATGCATTTATTCTAGTTCCCAGTTGATGAAAATCCCCTTATAAACCACCAAGTATGTCTTCATTTCAGAACTGAAACAGATGTCTCCCTTCCTACTTCTCTCCCAACGTTGTAGACTTATTTAAAACACACACATACACAAACACACACACACAGTCTGCCAGTGCAGATGGGGCTGCAATTAAGCTGTCTACATCATGTCTGTTCAGGAATCAACCCTTCAAAACTTTGAAGTGGTAAGAGGTGAAGGATACAAAACCCTGGAGTCTAAAATGAGAAGTTGGAAGGATTGGTGGTGGTTTGGAATGCTCCCAGCAGTTAGCATGGTAAAAGAAATCATCATTATGGGTTGTTTTCTCTCACTTTTGAATGGTCCATAAGATTTCATAGGGTTCCATGAAATTTTAAGAAAATCGAAGAATTCCTTTATAGCAGGGTTTCTCAACCTCGGCACTGTCGACATTTTGGACTAGACTTTGATGCGGGGAGCATCCTGTGCACTGCAGATGTTTAGCAGCATCCTTGGCCTCTTCCTCTTAGATGCCAGTAGCACCCTCCATTTGTGAAAAACAAAAATGTTGCCAAATGTCTTTTGGGGGCAAAATTCAATCTTGATTTAGAACCTGCAAGATGGTTCCAGTCTCTGGCCTAAGCTCTAGTTTGATTTATCATCAGTAGTTTTATTTCATTGGATCATAGGCAGTGAATTTCAATTTCTCTCAGTAAAATATGGGTGGTTGTCACAGAATACAGAAGTCCTTCTTTACTGCTGCTCATTGCCTACTATTGGGTAATTCCTGGAAAGTGATGTTCTGTTTCATGTTTATTTTCAGGTGACAATTGTGGAAAAGGCAGATAGCTCCAGTGTACTCCCCAGCCCCTTGTCCATCAGCACAAGGAACAGGATGACCTTCCTCTTTGCCAATTTAAAAGATAGAGACTTTTTAGTGCAGAGGATCTCTGATTTCCTGCAACAGACGACTTCTAAAATATACTCAGACAAAGAGTTTGCTGGAAGCTACAACAGTTCAGATGATGAGGTCTGTGGAAAAGTTCACTGGCCAGGGATTGTAACCCTGAGGGTTTTTCTGGTCTGTCCAGTTATACTTACCCCAGAGTGATCACTTCCTTGTGCATTTTGTTTGGTCTCCAAGCTTTGCATCTGTGCTAAGGTAAACCACATATCCTGATGCCCAGAGCAGTATGTCAGCACTCTTAAATCTCATAGAGTTTGTATGGGATCATAGAACAAGAAAGACCCTTATAGATCATTTAGTCTAAGCCTGTTGTTTTAATTTGTCTTACTTATATGGCAACATAATATGGTCCATATATTGAAGTTGTTGGGAATCTCTGTAGATCACAAAATAACGTCTCAAACTGGGGATACAGCATTCTTGTAGTAGAACACACACTGGGTTCCTTTTGTGTGAGGCCCTGGATAAACATCCTCATTTCAGAGGTGAAGAACCTGGAGCTCTGAGATAATATGTGACTAGCTAAATAGACAGAGCTCCAAGATTATGTGGGCATTTTTGAGGTACCAGAAACTAGAGCTCTGGTGGCATAGTGCCTAAGGCATTTGACTCCTAACTAGAAGGCTCGTGGTTCAAACCCACCAGCAACTCCTTGGAAGGAAGGTTGGGCAATTTACTTCCATAGTGATACTGCCTCAGAAACCCAAGGAGGGGTCGCCATGAGTAGGACCCCACTCGAGGGCAGTGAGTTTGGTTTTTTTGGTTTAGACACTAGAGAGGAGGTGAGGCAGTCCCATTACCTCCTGATTTAGTCATGGCAGGCTTTGCATATGTGTAAATAAGAGACAATGGCCAACCACCTTGTTGCAAAAATACTCCTGAAATATGGGGGAAGCCTATTTTGGGCATAAAAACACTGCAGCCTATGGCCTATGCCCAGGTCTAACCATTTGCCATTGATTGATTTTGTTAGCAATTCCATGTGTGCAGAGTAGGACTGTACTCCATAGAGTTTTCAACACTGTGACTTCTTGTAAGTAGTAGATCACCAGGCCTTTCTTCCAAGGTGCCTCTGGGTAGATTTGAACCACTAACCTTTTGGTTAGTAGCTGAGAGCTTAACGGTTTGTGCTACCCAGGAATGCATGCACGGGTCTAGTCCTTGCCAAAACGTTGTCTTGCTGCATTTCTCCTGTTTCTTCACATAGCAAGAAACACCTTGGAAAACAGAGTGTAGCCATCTGTATCTATAGAGAAGTTGCTGAAGTAAATTCTTTTGCCTTAAACCCTTTCAATGAGTGTGTCTTGCTCCTCTGTGCATGGACAGGTGTATTCCCGGCCCAGCAGCCTGGTTTCCTCCAGCCCCCAGAGAAGCATGAGCTCAGACACTGACGGTGAGCGCCAGTTCAACCTGAATGGCAACAGTGTTCCAACAGCCACACAGACCCTGATGACCATGTATCGGCGGCGCTCTCCTGAGGAATTCAACCCTAAACTGGTGAATGCCTCCTACTCCTCCCCAAAACTTACTACATTAGAACAATGACAAAAAAAAATCTTTAAAGTACATACACTTACGTAAACATTTATGTAGAGATTTCCCTATAAGTAAAGCAGATTTTGTTGAAATAAAGGCATTGAGTTGCACAGTGGCTGTGTGGAAAGGGACAAGAATTATGGAAGGTAGGGGTGAAGATATTTTTTTTAATTACCATGTAACTCACCCAAGAAAAAAATTCTCAATCTACATTTTAAAAATACGAACTCAGTTTGACTCTGAAGTCGCAGACATTGGTGTTAGACATTATGTTTAGTCATTACGCCATAGCATAATCAGCATCCTCATGACCTGTGTCAGGTAAGTGGGATTCTGACTCTGGGTCAAATGACCTTTATGATACAGCCTCAGGTTATGTATGATAGATGTGGAAATTTGAGCAAAAACTCCAGGAAATCTGAGTTTGTTCTCTCTCTCTCTTTTTTTTCTTCTCCTTCTGAAATTTTCAGTCACTTTTTTCCTTTTGAATAAAAATACACTTTCCTCTGATCTCAACAATAAATTTTGCTCTATGGCTATCCCTGCAGAAAAAGAGCCACCTCTGTTCATGAGTAAAATGTGTTCTATCTAGAACTGGGCCACTCCATTCAATAAGGAAAATGTTCCAGCCTACCTCTCCTTACCATCCTCAAGGTACTTTAGGATATAGTAATGTTTTGTTATCTTTTTCAGGCTAAAGAGTTTTTGAAAGAACAAGCCTGGAAGATTCACTTTGCTGAGTATGGGCAAGGGATCTGCATGTACCGCACAGAAAAATCTCGGGAACTGGTGTTGAAGGGTATCCCAGAGAGCATGCGGGGGGAGCTCTGGCTGCTGCTGTCAGGTACGGACCATGGGGAGTGGGAGCACTGCTCCCCTTCTGCCTTCCATCATGCATCAGGGGGCCTTTCAAATATGTTGTTGTTCTTGTGGTTATGTGCTGTCAAGTCGGACCCGGCTCACAGCAACCCCTCCTTCAGTTTCCAAGGCAGTATCACTACGGAAGTAGATTGCCCCATCTTCCTTCCAAGGAGTGACTGGTGGGTTCAGAAATAAATCTTGTTTACTTAGAGTGTTGAAGTCTCTGAATTACTCATCCCTTAATAAAAACACAGGACTGTGGGTGGTGCAAGCATTTGCTCTCAGCTACTAAACAAAAGATTGGCTGTTCGAATCCACCCAGCACTGCGGAAGAAAGACCTGGCAATCTACTTCCATGAGATTGCAGCAAGAAAATTTTATGGAGTACAGTCCAACTCTGAAGCACGTGGGGTTACTGCTAAGTCTGAATTGATGAGTTTTAATAAAAATACAGGACATGCAGTAAACACTACAAGTGAAGTTGCCTTCCCTTGAATCCTCATAATCTCTTTCCTCTCTTCCCTAAGGCTATTGGCAGGGAGGGAGTTGAAGTAAAGTATAACACTTTGTGATTTTAGAGTTCTCTTTTTTTAGTTTCCCAATTATGCAAAACTCTTTGAAATTTTTTTTTTCTGCTTACAACTCTGCTTTTTTACTTATCATTGTATTGTAAACATGCCTTTGAAGATTTAAAAAAATATTTTTCTGTTGCTGTTGAAAATATACACAGCAGAACACACACCATTTCAACAATTTCTACATGTACAATTAGGTGACACTGATTACATTCTTCAGGTTGTGCAACCATTCTCACTTTCTTTTTCCAAGTCATTCCTCCCCCAGTAACATAAACTCACTGCAGGTTCCTATCTAACCTTTCAAGTTTCTGTTGTCAACCTGATCCCACGTAGATGGTTCTTTAAAAAAGCCCAATGCTCAAGACACACATTCTTTACTAATTAAGCTAAACTATTACTTGGTTGAAAGAAGACTTCAGGGAATATTTTTAGTTTAAGGTTTAAAGATTTTCTCAGGGCAATGACTCTAGAAAGTGTGGATTCCATAAGAATTTGAAATTTGGTTTCACTTTCCCCACTTTGATCAGAATTCCTCTATAGATTACATGTTGAGCAATCTTTGAGGATTTTTAAAAGTGTAGCACATAGTCAAAGCAGTCCTTCAGGAGGTGGGGCAGAGGGAGGACATGGGAAGATTAAGAAAGCCTTTTTCTTGGTTTTTATCACCTCCTAAATTCCCTGTTTATCAGCAGAGAATTATGATGGTGAGACCAGAATCTGCACTGGAACTGACAACCTACCCAGATCACACTTACTACCACTTCAAGTGGGAGACGCCAGGCAGGACAGAAGGAGATGTGTTCATGGACCTGTGAGAAAAACTCCTCCATCTTCCCTGGTCTGCAGACCAGGCCATAAGATGGCCCTGTGAGATAAAGCCTTTGAACCCTGACATAGAAACTAGAGGTGCTTCAGGCAAGGCCACTAATTACTCTTATCCCAAAGCATCTAGTGTATTCTAGGGGATCTGAACCCAAAGCATTTCTTTGGGTTTCACCAGTCTTTTTAATATAGAAATCATTTGCTCTACCTACTTAAAATCAAAAACCAGTTGTCATTGAATCAGTTCTTACTCATAGCAAGCACATGTGTGCCAGTGTAGAACTCGGATTCTTCAGATAGATCACCAGGGCTTTCTTCCAAGGCACCTCTGGGTGAACTCAAACTTCACTCCTTTTGGTTAGTTACTGAGCACAGCAACCATTTCTACCAGTTTTTGTTTGGAGGACTAAAATGTAATCATTCCAAATATACTTATGTGAATATTTTTATTTGAATCTAAGATAGTCACATGAGATTAAAATTAAAGAACAGAGTTAAAAGACTTATATGATAGCCTTTTAAAAAAGGGGAAAAAAAAGTCAGCTCTTTCAGAAAGTAGAAATAATTGGTAAAGTTGCCCATAATGAGATGGACAAACATTTTAGAAGTACAGAAATAGGATCCTGAAAAATAATTGGTTTTGTCTATTTAATATAAAACCGTTCTGTTCTCTCCTCATTTACATATCTTGCTTTTCCTTTTCCTTGAGTAGATCAGACACAGCTCCTCATTTAGAAACCCAAATTTGAGTCAAATCATCTCTAATTACAAATCAAGCCCAAGAAAATCATTACCATCCAATCTTCTCTTGTCTTCCTCTCATTTGGCAAGGAACTAGTCACCTTAGCAACCTAATTCAGATTGCTGACAGGGTAAATACAACATTCCATTTTCATCCTCCTTACTCAAATTAGAAGTTATTTACAGCCACATTTTAGATTAAAATGAAACTCAAAATGAGCACCAGGAAACCAGTGTCCACGGTGCTGTTGCCAAGACACGTTTAAAGTTATATCCACAGTTTCCTTCAACAATGTTGAGTAGCAGAGGGCAAAGGGTGCTGTGGCCCACATGCTGCCATCTATTGGTAGATAACTGAGCCCCATTGCCCCACAGTTCAACACAAGGGGTTCATATGAATAGGAACTTGCCATAAAGAGAGCCCAGAACCCAGCTGGGGCCAGCCCTGCTTCCCATAACCTCAGGCTCCTGCTCCAAGAACTCACTGATGTGACTGCAGACCATATAACAAGAAATCTTCAAAATCCCCCATAGAACAGAACGAAAGCCAGTGTTACCTTGCTGTGAGTCAGGCTACCTTGCCAGGGCACGTATGAGTTGTAAGGCTGGCTCTTTTGGTGCCCATCAGGGACAAAAGACTAGGCCAGCTCATAGTCTCAGGGCTCTAATTTCCCAAACTTTGAAAGTGAATGTTTGCCCTGCCAGTCATAAATAAATAAAACATACGTAAAATTATGTGTGTATGTGTGTATATATATACACACACATACCCATATACACAAATATACCAAACCAAAACCAAACCCACTGCTGTCAAGATGATTCTGACTCACTATCAACCCTATAGGATGGATATAACTGCCCCATAGGGTTTCTAAACTGTATTCTTGACTTGAAGTACTGACTGATGAAGATTAAAGACTATAGTCTTCAGTATGGATTATACCTCAGCATAAAACAAAAATCCTCACAATTGCACCAATAAGCAGCATCTTGATAAAAAAAAAAAAAAAAAGTTGTCAAAAGATTTCATTTTAGTTGAATCCACAATCAACACCCATGGAAGCAGCAGTCAAGAAATCAGATGTCATATTGCACTGGGCAAATCTGCTGCAAAAGACCTCTTTAAAGTGTTAAGAAGCAAAGATGTCACTGAAATCTAAGATGCGCCTGACCCAAGCTATGGTATTTTCAGTCACCTCATGTGCATGTGAAAGCTGGACAGTGAACAAGGAAGACCAAAGAAGAGTTGATGCCTTTGAATTATGGTGTTGGCAAAGAACCCTAAAAATACCATGGACTGTCAGAAAAATGAACAAATCTGTCCCGGAAGAAGTGCAGCTAGAATGCTCCTTGGAAGTGAAAATGGCCAGACTTCGTCACACCTACTTTGGTCATTTTGTCAGAAGGGACCATTCCTTGGAGAAGGATATCATGCTTGATAAAGTGGAGGGTCAGTATAAAAGAAGAAGACCCTCAACAAGAGAGCTTGACACACTGGCTGCAGCGATGGGCTCAAGTCTAGCGAGGATGATAAGGATGGCACACGACTGGGCAGTGTTTTGTTGTATTATGCATAGGGTCACTATGCCAACTCACTGGCACCTAACAACAACAGCAATCTTTACAGAAGCAGACTGCCACATTTTTCTCCCTGGAGCAGTTGGTGGAATTAAACTGCTCACCTTTCTGTTAGCAGCTAAGAGCTTACCACTTCAACACCAGGGCTCTTCATATATATACGTATGTGTGAGTGTGTATATGTCTATATATGTATGTATACATACGTATGTGTGTGTATAATGAGCCTTGATACACACACACACATATATACATATGCATATTTGAGTACAAGTGTTTTAGGTCTGAAAGAATTTTAAAATGCAGGTATCTCAAAGTGTTTCTCAACTCTTCATCTCCATCCCCACCACCTGAGGAATTCTCTGGTAGAGATACTCTCACTACCCTTGACAATTTTAAAAATCCTTCTTATGTATTCTAATACATCTGCTCACTATTTAAGACCTTCAAAGTTAACACTTCAGCAAGCACTTTTCAAAATTTTTTTCTGAGGGAGAGTGCCTTTTTCTAAATGAAATTTAAAGGAAAGCCCCAATAAAATAAGAAGGGAAGCTGCAGTGGTTGAAGGGAAGGACTGGTGAGGACTCAGCTTGGCTTCCCTGTGTCTGCCTCTCCTTTTCTACTCCTGAGCATCACCTTAGGAATGTCTGTAAGTTCCTTAGAAACTAACTGTGTTAGGAGGTTTTTAAATGGCCTCTTTCCTATGGAGCTGAAACAGGGAAGGAGCCATGGGTCAATTTATCAATCTAGGCTTAATCACAACACACCATCTCATCTATGTAGCTTCATTATTATTTTGCCAGCATCCTTTGCATGGTAGGGACAGTGGAGAGGTTTGGTAAGTTGTACTTGTACACCAAAGGGCAGGGTTTTCCCTTTTTTAAAATACTGTATTCTGTTGGGTCCTTTGCAGGTGCTATCAATGAGAAGGCCACACATCCTGGCTACTATGAGGACCTCGTGGAGAAATCCATGGGGAAGTATAATCTTGCCACAGAGGAGATTGAGAGGGACTTACACCGCTCCCTTCCAGAACACCCAGCTTTCCAGAATGAAATGGGCATTGCTGCTCTGAGGAGAGTCTTAACAGCTTATGCTTTTCGGAATCCTAATATAGGATATTGCCAGGTAAATATCATTCATGAGTTATACTTAAACAAATTTAATTTTGTTTTATTAGCTAGTAAATAATAAGAAGGCAGGCTTTATTGTTAACAGACCTATCACTGGATCAGGAGTTTCTCACCCTTGGTGCTACTGACATCTTGGACTGGATCATTTTGTGTGGGAGCTGTCTTACACATTGCAGGGTTTTTAGTAACATCTGGGGCCTTTTCCCACTAGATGCCAGTAGCCTCCACCCACTAGCTGAAAATCAAAAATGTCTTCAGATGTTGCCAGAAGTCCCCTGATGGGTGAGGAGGGGTGGCAGTATCATACCAGGTTGATAATTACTGTACTGAGCAGAGGAGCCAGTAGTTAAGAGTAAAGTTTCTGGATCTGTCACCTTCTAGTTTCTGTGACCTTGGAAAGTCACTCATTTTCTGACCCACCCCTATCCCATCCTGAAGTAACTGAAAACACAGCCAAGCACAAGGCCCTTAATTCTGAATTTCCACAATGCTCCTGCTTTGAGTTCTCCTAATACAGATTTTATATGTGATGGTTATATTTAATACACATTAAAATATATCACAATTTAGGAAGCCCCAAGATAATGTGACCTCCAAGGTCTCAATTCAAAGACCATCCCTAAATTAATTAATTAAACTTTATGTCTGTTCTGTCTCCTTGACACAAGCATTTAAACCTTGTGAGATCCCCACCTCTCTGTCCCCCAGTACCCTGTCAGGTAAATGTCACTTATGTCACAATGTCATGTTATGTCATAAATGTCAGTTATAAATTGGACCCAGGAGGAGGAAAAAGAATGAAAAAACATATCTTGACTTACTGACTAAGGGACTGACTGTGACCATGATGATGTACTAGAATAAGCAGGTTAATAATCAGGTGGATTTTTAATAATTGTTTCACTTAGGAAAATATTACGTAAAATTTACAGGAAAAAGGCTGAATAGAACAAAATCCCTTTTTAAATGTATATTGCAAAAGGCTGGTGAACAATTACTGGTTTCTAGAAGATCAAAAGAAGTGCAGGGGTTAGTTGACTTCAGTATAATAGAGTTCATGTTTATCTTTACATCTTCCTCTTTTTAATTAAGAGGATGATTAAAGTAATTTAGGTCCTGGTTATACTTGATTTGATAATATCTTTTAATAAGGAATGGTTACATTAGAATTTAAATCACTACTACTTATCGCTACCATCTTCATCCCAATGGAAATAACAGATGAGGATTCCAACTTTGAAAGGTTTTATTGTTGTCTGAGGAGCCCTGTGTAATTGTAATAGAAGTCATTATGGATAGTTACAAAAGATGTATTTACTTGGCTGAATTAAGGATTAAGAATGCTGAGAAATTTCAGTGGGTTAAAAGCTTTGGCAAATAGCCTTTGGGCAAAGTTTTTGAATGAGGTTTTGCCTGTATGTTTAGGGTTCAGCCCTTGGGTAATATTGAATTTAATGAAAACCATTAACAGTTACTGGCTCAAAGACTAATGGGTTTTACGTTTTTAAACGGTCTTAAACACATTGGTTTGAGGGCAGTAGTGGTTTAGTGGTAGAATTCTTGTCTTCCACGTGGGACCCTAGTTCAATTAGGTTAGAGGCCAGTGCACCTCTAACACAGTCTCCATAACAACCACCCATCTGTCAGTGGAAGCAGCTTGTTCCTATGAATCTGAACAGGTTTCAGGGGAACTTCCAGACTAGGAGGGAAGGCCTTGTGATGTTCCTCTGAAAAGCAACCAGTGAGAACTCTGTAGGAATGGTACAGAACTGGGGAGCACTTCATTCTGGCGGTGCATGGAGTCCCCATGAGGTGGGAGCTGACTCGAGGTCAGCTAACAGCAACAACAGAACAAAACAAAACACAGAAGACTAGACGTCAGAGACTATCTGGCCTACAAAGTCTAAAACTATTTGCTATCTGGCCTTTTATAGAAAAAGTTTGCTGACTGCAGTGAGACTAACTTAGTAATTTTTTACACTAATAATTTATATTTTAACATCCTAAAATTTGTTTGGTGGCATCCTCTTTTATTCCTTTAGGCCATGAATATTGTCACCTCAGTGCTACTTCTTTATGCCAAAGAGGAGGAAGCTTTCTGGCTGCTTGTGGCTTTGTGTGAGCGCATGCTCCCTGATTACTACAACACCAGAGTTGTTGGTATGTGTGCCTCTATTTCATTTTTTTAACTTATATCTGATCAGGAAGATGTTTCTCGAACAGCAATACCAGCTGGAACTCTACTTCTAGTCACCAGTAACCAGAAGAGTTTTGGATACTACAGGTTTCCAAAATAGAAATGAGAGAACTTGCATAAAGTTTTACACATAGAACTTAAGAGAACACACATGTATCACAGTTGAAGAAATTATTTTAGAAAATGTTTGAGTAAGTGTTACTCTCAGTGACATGTGAGAGCTCCACAAAATATACCAAGCATCAACACAAAGAATTTTGACAAGAAGTTCTTCAATGAAAAGGATGGAACCTGTGGAGAGTAGATGTAGTTAAAAGGGGGGGCTATAAAGAGTGAGAAAAGAGCATATAAATGTTTTCCAAAGCTAAATTGCTAAGGTGTTTTTCAGACTTGCTTTCATTATAAAGCAAACAATTATTTGAGCATTTAAATAAATGACTATTTTTCCATATAATCACCTCAAGTGTTAGACGTTCATCTTAGCAGGACAAGCTTTTCATTACTAGTTTCGTTAAATGTGTGCTTTATGCTTCCTTCTCGTGTTCTGGCTTGTTTTCTAAACCTTTGCATACCATTCTGATTCACTGAAAATAGTCTCCGGAAATGTCTCTATGTTGACCATGAAAATGTATAATTGGAATGTTTTTATTTTTATTATTTTGCTTTTCTTTGTTTCTTGGGGAATGCTTTTAAGTTTAAAAAATAATATGCAGTTCACATGTGGGGACCACTCATCCAGAAATGCAGTAATTTTTTAAAAATATGGTAAAACATAATATAAAATATTTTAAAGTGTGCAACTCAGTGGTATTCACATTCACAGTGTTTTGCAACCATTACCACTATGTCATTCTAGAACTTTTTCATTACTCCAAAATAGAAACCCTCTACTTATTAAGTCATCACTCTCCATTCCTACCTCCTCAAACTCCTGGCAGCCACCAGTCAGCTGTCTGTATGGATGTACCTCTTTCGACTATCTCATGTAAATGAAATTATACAATACATGGACCCTTGTATCTGGCTTCATTCACTTAGCATATATATGTTCAAGGTTCATCCATGTTGTAGCATGTGTCTGTACTTTATTCCTTTTTATGGCTGAATAATATTCCGTTGTATGCATAAGACTGTATTTTAGTTATTCATTCATCCATCAATGGGTGTTTGCATTGTTTGTCTTTTACCTATTACAAATGTTGTTGCTATGAGCATTCATGTACAAGTTTCTGTATGAATGTATATTTTCAATTCTCTTTGCCATGTATATAGAACTAGAATTGCTGAGTCATATTGTAACTCTTATACTTAACTTGTTGAGAAATTTCCAAAGCAATATTTTCTTTTAAATAAGGATTTTCCAAGTAAGAAATGGTTGGAGCTACTTTGATATACATATAATAAGCACAACCAAATATTATGTTGACAACAGAGTAACTGATTATATGTCATAAAAACTTTGAACAATCCTTATAGTGGGCATGTTAGTGGTATTTTATGGTAGGGAAAGCAGGAAAGGAAGACTCCAGAGAGGAAAAAAAGATGCAGCCAGAACAAATTTGGTAACTAACATAATTTGTGTAACATAGCTGACATCTTACTCTAGTAATGTAGATCAGTGCCTGGCAGAGCAATTAGCAGAAAGGAATAAGAATCCTGTCTCAGCAGGGAAAAACAGTTGTGTTCATTTGGCTGTGTTTATCAGTAAGAAGGTATCACTGGTTAACTTTGCCCTTTTTTGTCCATGATGTAGGTGCTCTTGTGGACCAAGGTGTCTTTGAGGAACTAGCCCGAGACTATGTCCCACAGCTGTATGACTGCATGCAAGATCTGGGGGTGATTTCCACCATCTCCCTGTCTTGGTTCCTCACACTATTTCTCAGTGTGATGCCCTTTGAGAGTGCAGTTGTGGTTGTTGACTGTTTCTTCTATGAAGGAATCAAAGTGATATTCCAGTTGGCCCTGGCCGTGTTGGATGCAAACGTGGATAAACTATTGAACTGCAAGGATGACGGGGAGGCCATGACTGTTTTGGGAAGGTATTGCATCAAAGCCCAACTTTGAAAACAACCCTGTACTTTCCGTCTATGTTTTTCACAGGTTTCATGATTCTAAGTTGCTTTGATGGTAATCATGGTGGCCGTTTCTGTCTGTGACTGAGGATTTATTCTCATGTGCTTTTTATGTAGAGGTTAAGTGAATGCGATTCTGTACTTCAGGGAAATTCTAGTCCTTTGTGTTAAAAAATGCATTTTTCAGAAAAGGAGTGGAGAACCATAATGGGGAATTCCTGTTAGTTTCATAGTAACTTCTGATTCACTTCTCCTTCCAGGTACTTAGACAGTGTGACCAATAAGGACAGCACACTGCCTCCCATTCCTCACCTCCACTCTCTGCTCAGTGATGATGTGGAACCTTATCCTGAAGTAGACATCTTCAGACTCATCAGAACTTCCTATGAGGTAGGTGAGGACCTCTAAGAGTGCTATGGGGGGCTCAGCTAGATGTGTGTCACACATTTCCATTGCTAACCCAGGGACCAGGTTCTTCCATGAGTGTACCTGCTTCCTCTTACATTGTGAGGACCAGTTGCTGAAAGTGAACATGTACCTGCCAGCTGCCAGATGTTGGCCCCTAGTTTAGAAATCAGACATGGACATTGAAGAGGGTCTAGGATTTTCCATGGGGCTAATACTGTGATAGCAAATAGCATGGAAAGCTCTGGCCCTCCAGTTCTTTGCTGTGCCCATCTTGAAGCCTGTCTGGTACTGATCAGATTCAACTCTTGAGGAGGGTTTGTTGAGAGAGAGTAGGCATGGAGAATTTGACTTGCACACATTAATTCATTTCCTGGGTCTTATTCCAAGTAATTGTGTCTTCTGGGGAAGTAAAGCAAATCCTGTTCAGTTTAAGACACTCGGAATAACCTGCATCATCCTAGAGCAAAACCAGTTTTAGCATTACTCCAGAATTGCTAGGTGTAGGGCTTACGTGGGGAGCAAGGTGAGTATTGCTTTAATGGTTAGCCCAGGCTGAGCTTGATCTGATGCTGAATCCCATCGGAATAGACCTGAGGAGCTTCTAGAGAGGAAGGAACCACAGTGGCATGTGCTCTATAGCATGTAGTGGTTGGTGGACTCAGTACCCAGAACACCAGATGATTTCTTCATTTCCTGATCTTTGGCTTAGCAAGCCTTTATAGAAATGATTCTTTAGAAAGAGACAAGATGAATATTTTGCTGAGCACAGTAGGCTCCGTAGATGTTTTAGGATTACAAGGCTGATGATTATTCCAACAAGCAACAACCTGATTAAGAGAGAAATGGGAGGGAGGAGGCAAGGTCAGAAAAAATCTCTCTGGGAGTCAAAAATTTAGTACTTGTTAAAAAAAGATAATGGTATGGATCCAGAATCTTTGTCAAAAATGTATATTCTTAACTCATAATAGAAGAAAGACTGGAAATTTATCCTTTTGTAAAATTTCCACTGAGACTCCATGTGAATTGAAAATAAAACATTTTCAGTTCTGTTTTATGATCATAAATGTAATGCATGTTCATTGTAGACATCTACAATGTAGGAAAATATGAAGAAAAATAAATTATATCTATGAGCATTTCACCATATTTCCCTCAAATATGTTTTCATATATACAATATACATTTTCAACCACAAATACTGCTGTTAACATTCTGTTCTTCACTTAAAATGGACCGTGAACATTCTCTGATAGATTAAATATCATTTCAAGACATGGTTTTAGTGGATTCTTAGTATTCTGCTTTAATGAAGTATCAGAATTTATTTAGTCCATTTTTGTTAGACATTCTCAGTATTTTCAAATACTTCAAAATTTTTTGAAGTATTATATGGCATCTGTGATAAACTTGTGTACAAATATCACATCTCTGATTTAGAGATGTTTTAGAGTTCTAGAAATGGGTTTACAGCAATAGATCAAAATATGAATTGTCTCCAAACTCCTGAGATACAGTTTTCAATTTCCATAAAGTTTATCAGCAGTAAAGATGGCCCTTTCACTTTATTCTCTCCAAAACTGTTTATTACCATAATGTAACTTTTTAAAATCATTGCCCCAGAAGTTTTCGATCACGATCTGTGAGATATGCATTCTGGGTGATTATTCTTCCGGTAAAAGAGCCCATGTGGTTGTGACAATTGTTACTGTTATGCCTATGGGATTGTTTTTTAAGGGCATCCTCTGAAATCTTTATTGTTAAGAGAATTCTGGATCAAAGTAATAAAGGACAGTATAAGGAAATTCAGCCTTTATTCTATTCAGTAGATAACTTTGCATCACGGGTAAGGTCAGTGCTTTGCCCAGTTTAATGGGAGGAGAAGAGACTAGAGATAAGATTGGTTTCCATTTACACCTTGTCTGACTGGTTTTTCATGGTAACCCTTAGGCAGCTAAACATCCCATGGCAGGGCACAGCAGTGCTCTCCTTCTGTCCAGGAACAGAATCCTTTTTATTATATCAACTCCTACATCACCTGATCCCTAAAAAAAAGAAAAGAAAAAAACCAAACTGGGAGG